TTATAAATATAATGATCATATAAACGTGTGCCTCAGAAATAATTGTTTACATTAATGGTGACCAAAACGTTTGAGTCACTGAGATAACACTGAGAGAGTGCTTTAGTTAGCTCACCGAGTCTCTCAGTCGGACAGGAGAGGACTCTCCTCCACTTTGTTGTTGAAAAAACTCCTTATATCCGTTAGCGTAGCTCGCTAGCACCAGAAGTTAACAACAACGATCTCCGGTAACGGTGCGCTCTCTCTCTTGCGCGCACAAAATGGCTCGTTCCACACTCACACAGAGCCGAGCTTTAATGAAACACAGAGACCCAGACGTAATAGTACTGCATCATATTATTATCGAATCAATAATTTTTCAAATTATGATTTTTTTTTTAATAACAATTTTTAATAACAAATTTTCCTCCTGGTGTCTCGCGCCCCCACTGTCATGCCTCTGGGCCCCCCAGGGGGGGGTGCGCCCCCCACTTTGGGAACCACTGGCTTAGACCTTTCGCGACTGCAAACCTTTTTAGACAAACAAACATTGACCATACCCTTCACCAGCCCCCACCCCCCTCTGAGTGACAAGCTTAAAGTTAGTTGTCTTTGTTTATTGCAACCAGGGAGAGCCGTGATGGACGCTGCCACAATGAAACTCATATGAAACAAACAGCTGATTCCTCACACACACAGTAGCCTGTTGTTTCTATGCATCAAATAGTGAGAAACATGCCTCTGGTTAATTATTATATAACTTATTTTCTCTATAAAAGCTGGTGGGTTGAAAGCAATACGGGAGGTGAAAATAACTATATTGTAGAATACAGAAGAATTGTGATGCCGTGGCTTTATCTGAAAACTGACAGCATAATTGCATTTATGGCCCGGGACACACATATTTATTTAGATATGTTTTAAACAAGTTTAAATAAAAGGCTGGAGTGTTTCTTGCTCTGCCAGGTACAACAAGTGGGAGCGCGGTGAGAAGTATCTAGATAGAATATGGCGCTGGGTTTACAGTAGTTGTTGTTCTTATTATACATCAATGTAGTCCGCTGTAAAGAAAACTGTAGTTTCCTCACAGCAGCAGACGCACATTCATGACGTCCGCTGGCGCATCATAAATATGTCGATAGTGTAAGTGCAGTCGGATTCTCAAAGCACTGCAGTCTCTTCTCCTAAATCTTCTTGAATTCTCCGATCCACTATTCATTAACCCTGAAAGGGTCTGTCGGCCATCATCGGTGTGACAAAGCTCTACCATCCCCCCTCTGTTAACAAGAGATAGTAGCCTATGTTGCGGACACTCTTTGTTTCAAATAATTATATGACAAAAGTCTCCCATGGGGGATGGGAGACTTCCGATGGGCAATCGGAATTACATGCAGGGCAGCATTGCCGGTCTGAAAGGGTCTCTGGAAATATTAAACATTTAATTAAAGTTTTAAAAACAGTGACAGGTTAAAATCAGAGGTGGAAGAAGTATTTTGATTATTTATGTATGTTTATGTAGATTTAGCAACATGTAGTTCATATAATTCTCCATGTCCACTTGTTGCTGATGGTTGTGGTAGAGGAGCTGTAGATTGCACTAACATCTGTAGCTACTGTCAGTAGCAGTAGCTACTGACCATGCTACAACAGTGAGCAGCAGAGGTGGGGCTATGGCTTCATCATTATCAGGAAATGATCGTATAGGACGTACACACTGAGCCGTTTGGCCCCCCAGAGCGTTCCGTTTGCAGATCTATCCACCTTGGGACCCGTTATCGTTTGCGGGGTCCGTTTCCGTTACGGCCTCGTGTGAACGAAAGGGCTATACGCGAGAGAAAAGTAGTAGATACAATCCGTTTCGTTCTCATGTAAACACCGCCTTAATCTCCCAGCTACTGGGATCCGCTGGGTTTTTGGTTGGAATCCGCTGGGTGGAGTCCTATCTGGAGTGCTACATCTGTAATGAAACTTTACACGTGATGAATTTAGATTGGTCTTCGAGCTTCAAGCTGTTTCCAAACAATAGCTTCCTAATTGGAGTTGCCTTAGCATGATGCAGCTCCAGGATTAGTCACACTGAGCTGAACTGTAATTGGGAAAGCTGATTGAACGGCCGCTCACATGGAAAGGAGTAAAGTTGTATAAAGTGATTAATCCAGATAACCCAGCTGCTGTGGCTGTCAACCCCCTGTCTCCAGGAGGATCATGGGACTTGACAAACCTAATTGAAACAACAGTTTCAGTTCAAAGGAAAAATCCAGAGGCATGTCATTGAGATGTTAAAGCCCATATGAAGAGAATTAGCCCTAATAACATTATAACGATTCCTATACCCTTATCCTGCAGCCTGTACCAGCACCAAATATGAGTCTCTTTTTTAACTTTCCTCACTTTTACCTAATTTTCTCTAAAAGGATTGTCCAGAGAGACAGGTGTTTGGAATCCAGACAAGAAGATATTCTTCATTCATGTTGCTGCTTTGCTAATAACATCACTGAGGAGGTTGTGTTATTATGAACACACATTTAACCAAGCTGTGTTTGCGGACACCTTTCACACCACTGTCCCTCACCAGCTTCACTGCAGATGTTGTTGTGAAATCCGTCTTGGATCCGATGTCGGTAGAATGAAGCAAGATCGACCTTGACCAAACCTCAAACCCTAATCAGGGACAACGGGTATAGCACAATCAGGATTGGTGTCCGTTCTCATAAAAGGGGTTGTTGGTGTGTAATTTGATTCTAACACTGTATGAAATGGATCAATTGCTGCCTATTGGCGCCTAATAAGAATATCAAAGAATTATAACATCACAAGGCATAATGTAGCTGCAAGTAAGAGAGCAACCCATGACTCTGATTTATTTCCAACTTGTCATTCACATTCTTCTGCTCTTAAAACTTCAAACTTGATGCAGCAGATTTAAACGTTACACTCAATAATTGAAGGACTGACCATGATAACGATATGTGGAACTAAATGTAGTTTTTGGCTGAATTAGAGTAAAAGGAAAATTATTGATTGAGTATTATCTGATACATATCAATAGACTGATCCACTTTCTAATTGGTATTCTCTTAGCTGCAATATACAGAGTTTAATGTATTGTTGGGAAGCACTGTATTAAAAAGCAAACAAAACAAAACAAAACAGGGCACACTGACACACAAGGCAGCCATCTGTGGCGCCATGTTGGATTTCTGGAAAAAGAGGATTTGAAAGCAAATACTCTGCATTGAATCCATCCTAGTGTTAGAAGCAGGGGGGAGACGATTTGACTCACATTCAAACCTTTCTTTTCGAAGAACTGTGTCAGCTCGTGGAAGATTATTTCCCCTCGCACACCGTTTAATTAACTCAGCATCAGCAAACGAGCGAGCGTCCAAGAGACGTGCAATGAGGCAGCTGTTGCGCTCTCTTGTGCCGATGTTGTTTTCGACATTGTGGAAACAGAGTGCTTGTATGATGCAAGCAAACCTGCTATCTTTTGTGTGCGCTGGTCGGATTTCTCTGAACTGACGGTTCTCCTGGTCTACCTTCCTCTTCTTAGCGAATTCCATCCTGGGTTTGAGTTATCCACGGTCCGTTAGTGTCATGTTTGTCAATCGCTGGGCTGGGATGACAGGCGGCTAGCTGGCGAGCTATTGTTTATATGTGTTTGCCGCTATTCCAGGTGGTGACGAGTAAGTCAAGCGCGCGAAGCACGTCTTGCATATGCACACGATAAGGTCAAGGGTCAAGTTTACGAGTGTCGACTGAGGTCAAAATAAAGCGAAACCGGACATTTCATTAATATGTTATAACAAGTGAATGCCAGTAGATCAGCGCGGGCCATGCATTTGCCTCTCGGCCCGGATCTTGCCCGTGGGCCACTAATTGGGGTTGGCTGCTGTACAGCAACCAGGGAGCAGTGCGTTCCTTACTCAAGGGCAGGAGATGAAGTGGCACCTCTCCAGGTACACACTCAGCACTTCGTCTGTAGTTGGGGACCCTTCAGTTCCCAAGACAAGATCATACAGACCGAGCTACAGCTGGATGGTGTTACTGTTTCGAACAGGAAGTGGAAAACAGAGTTTGATTTAAATGATTTAGCCAAAGTCAGCCTTGGAGGAGATCCAGAAGTTAATCAGGCTTTACATCAGTACAGCAAGAGCTTACATCGAACACATGGACACATTTTACTTCCTGGCAGTGATAAGGTCTATGCTGAGAGCCAAAAATAAAATAACCAAGGTTAAATTGGTAACATTGTCTCTCTGCTTCAACAAGCTGACTGTTATCCAAAGCACTTGGAACTTAGTTAGCAAAACATTGCCTTGTACTGAATTAAAATAATAACAAAAGTCCATTTTGTCTGAGTGCTTTTAGATGCTTACCAGTGGGAAGGCGTGGGAGATCTTGCCGTCCGGAGGCAGTTTTGCTCCAAAGCCGTACGCTGGGAAGAGTTTGTCACTGTCGTAGTCCTGGATGATCTCCCCCACTGCCTTCAGAGCCATGGCGTACGCATTCATCTGGTACGGACTCATGTAATGCAGGGAGGTGGGCTGGGACGGGTTACCTGGAGAGACCACCAGCACACCAACACACACAGGGACGAACATAATGACCAAATACTCAATCTTTGATATATTTAAAGAGCAACTTGCAGGTTTTTTTTTTTTTAATAGATTTATGCTTAACCTTACCTGAAAATTCAATTAAAAATGTTAATGCAGGATTTGATATGTTTTACAAGACATAAGGGCAGGAATTCAGAGGAAAAGGAGCCGTTTTGAGCTCTGCTACTAAAAACTGCTTTTTTTAACGTCATACGTCAAACGCATCATATTACGTCACATGGGGGAGCAAGTTTCTCGGACTCCTTCTCTGCCCAATCCGCGGTAATAGTTTGTAGTTGGTTTGAGCGGTTGTGGTTTAGTGAGCTTGTATTTTTTTGGTAATTTTACATTGCATTTCACCATTTGTAATCATGGTGAGCTTGTGTTTGTGCAGGTTGCACAAACTCGAGCCTGTCAGGGACATCGAGTCCACAGTTTCCCTCACGGGAAAAGGACCGGAGCTAGCGTTCGTTCCTGGGTGCGAGGTGCATCCACCTCCCTGCAGCACATACTTTCCACAGCTTTATCAGGAAACCGTATTACATCTCTCTCCCCCCCCTTCGCTGCTCTCTCTCTTCTCCCCTCCGGTACACGGCACCGTAAGACGTAGTGTGGAGTTGCATTAGGTAACGCTGTGGTGGCTGTACTGCTCCAGCCGTCTCCTTTGTGTTTGTTTGTTTCCCTCTGTCTGTGTTGTTTGTGTGGGCGTGGTGGCTGTCACTCCTGGCTCCCGGCTCAACCTCCACTCACCTGCTGCAATCAGCTGTGCACCTTCCCCGACTACACACCTGTTTTCCATCAAGCCATTTACAACGGCATATCAACGGAGGCTCCACAACCTTTCTCCGCCATATCGTCAAGTATCAGCCGTATCTCGCGTCTCCCCTCCGGTACACAGTAAGACGTAGTATGGAGTTGCATTAGGTAACGCGAGATACGGCTGATACTTGCGCATTAGTTTCTGTTATGAATCAGTATCAACAGTCCTGCCAGTAACGTTACTATATTATCAATACTACTTTAGTTATAGCCTGATATATGATAGCTAACTTTACAATGTTGTGATGTGACTGACGTTAGCTAACATTAACTGTAGCTAACGCCGGTCACTCACCAAGACAGCTGCCCTGTTCTCCACTGGTTCTCCTCACACCACAGCTCCATTTCTCGCAGAGGCCGTTATTTCTTCTACTCCTTGGCTGCTCCTGGTCTCTTGGACGCATAGCAGGCTCATAATTATAATCATATGCATTCGAATATATATTTTCAACCTCTTCTGTGTCAAAACTAGCATTATGATCCATGTTTATTCATACGTTAAACCGGCCGCTCTCCCCCATCTTTTTTTGAAAATCTAGTGTATTCATCATTTTCCTACACATTTATTCACTGGTGTGTCACTCTTTGCTTTTATGAGATTTTATTTTTTTATAATCTATTTATTCTTGTTGAATTATTTTCTATCTGTTTTACTTTGTGTATTTGTAGATGTTGTTGTTTAGTTCACTTGCTTGTTTTATGTGAGAGCACTTTGTCGATGCTTCAGCAAAGCGTCGGAACATTGTAAGACTTGGTGCCAGATATGATGATGCTGAGATGTTAAAGTAATAACTCCTGTGATTTTTCTCACCTGTTTGTAATGCATTTCTTTATTACAACACCAAACAAGTAAATACTAGTATTATGCATTTTTTATTGATTGACACCAAGAAATGAACCCTAACCGTTTCACTCTCAGACAGAGAGCATTACCAAAGACCCTCACACTGACCAGATCCCAATGCACACGTTTGCACACACATACAAACGCACACACAATCCAATCCAATCTGTCATGTGTGCAGCGACACTCAAGAAACCTTTTAACTGAACGGAGGTGAGGACATTGACTGCATTCACAGAGATGAAACGCCGTCCTACCGTTGGATGCTGTGAAGTCGATGGCCACGGTGAAATTGAGTTGTGTCCTGGAGGGAGATTGAGCACATCGGTGTCAGTCAAAGCAGAGATGATAGCACTGTGGCGGTATCTCGCACATTTACAGATGTCCAACCTTCGCTGAGAGATACTCATCAACAGCTCCATGCTGTCACTATAATAAAGTACGAGGCAGGGGTCTGCACTATGACTCCTAAAAGCTCTGTAACTGTGCTTTTAAATCCCAATGCTGGAGCATCTGACTATTATCATGCTGAACACTTTATTTTTGTCTTTAATTAATCTCATATTTTGGGCGTTATGGCAATTCACTATATTTTCAAATTGTCCTGCCCAATGTTCTATATGCTCCATATTCATTTTTACTATTTTTCTTCACTTGTGCTAATTGTTTGGTTATAATCAATAATTTCAAACAAAATGGTGAATCTCTAAAGTATTATTGCGAATTTGTGTCACGATCTTAGTTTTATGTCACGGTTTTGTTTGGTCTGTCTTGTCATGGTTTTATTTTGCAATTATTTTCTCCCTCTGTCTTGTCTTCCTCCCTGTTGTTAGTTTCCCTGGTGTGTCTGATTGTCGGATTGTGTTCACCTGTTGCCCTTGTGTTTCTCCTTCCCTGCCTGGCTGTTTCTCGTCTCGTGATTACCCCTCCCTGTATTTAGTCTTGTCTCTTCCTGTGTTCGGTGTTGGTTCATTGTTAGTCTTTCCCTTCATGTTGGTCACAGTCACCTTTTGTTTGGATGCTGCCTCGTACCTGTTCATGGATTCTTGTTTTGTTCAGCTTTTGTAAATAAAGCTCGCCTTTTGTTTCCTTTTGAAACCTGCTTCCTCCTCAATCTGCATTTGGGTCCTATTTTTCCCCAACCCTGACAACCTGAGGATAGTATCTGTTTTGTATGATTTGTTGTATGACCAAGCTGACTTTTTGTGTTGTTGTTGTTGTTGTTGTAATGTATTCATGTATTGTATTCTGTCATTGCTGTAATTTTGTGTTTAAGAATCAATAAACAAAGTGTATAAAAAGAACAGACTAAACTTTTGTTTTCAACATTGTCAATAAATCGGAAGTAAAATTAGACTTGCATTGTGGGAACATTTGTGAATTCAACATTCATTTCACTGTTCCATTGTCTGATGGAAACTCCAGTGGTGTCCTTTAGTGAAACACTGATGAAACATTTAACAGGGAGCTCTTACCCTCCTCTGATGAAATCCACAAACGTGCATTCTGAGTCCACTTTGAAAGACAGCAGAGTCACCTGGAAACGGAAAGAAAGTGAAAACAGGAAGTGAGGAGTGAGTAAACATCTGCTGGTTGAAAACAAGGCTGCTGTGACTCATGGCCCTGAATCACTCGACAGCTCTTACCGTTCCTGAATTGACGTATTTCTTCTTCTTTCCTTTCTTTTTATGATTCAAAACCTTGATCACAAGATAGAGAAGAATAAATGTGTCTATTTCACGCAAGTGATTAGTTATTCAGTGCATGACTGAGCTGTGTGGATGTAGAGGATATTGTCCTCAGATGTGGGCGCTTATTTATAACACAATAAAGATTACTCAAATAAATAATAAATAACACTGACAAGACATTTCTGTTGAGGCTGAGAGTTCCCTAAACAATTCGGATATCCTTTAAAATAAAGTTGTGGACAATGTCTTGGATTAATTGTAGCTATTTGTTGATAAAGTTGAGCTATTATTGCATTTTACCTCATACACATTGAACTGGCTCTGCCCCCGGGACAGCTCTCTGTAGCTGGTGGTGAACTCTCCAATAAAGTCATGACTGGAAGAAAGACAGATTTAGACAGGAACAGGCAATAGTTATAGAACATCTGAAACATATTCCCATGCACAGAATAACACAAGAAAATAAAGAATCCAATTATACACTGAACAAAAATATAAATGCAACACTTTTGTTTTTGCTCCCATTTTTCATGAGATGAACTCAAAGATCTAAAACATTTTCTATATACACAAAATAACCATTTCTCTCAAATATTGCTCACAAATCTGAAAAAATCTGTGATAGTGAGCACTTCTCCTTTGCCGAGATAATCCATCCCACCTCACAGGTGTGGCATATCAAGATGCTGATTAGACAGCACGATTATTGCACAGGTGTGCCTTAGGCTGGCCACAATAAAAGGCCACTCTGAAACGTGCAGTTTTGCTTTATTGGTGGGGTCTGGGGGGGTCCGAAAACCCTAGGGTTAAACCCTAACCCTAACATGTGACCCATCTCCTTCGCATAGAGTTGATCAGGTTGTTGATTGTGGCCTGTGGTATGTTGGTCCACTGCTCTTCAATGGCTGTGCGAAGTTGCTGGATATTGGCAGGAACTGGAACACGCTTTCGTATACGCCGATCCGGAGCATCCCAAACATGCTCAATGGGTGACATGTTAGGGTTAGGGTTCTGGTTTAGCCCTAGGGTTTTCGGACCCCGCCAGACCCCCCAATAAAGCAAAACTGCACGTTTCAGAGTGGCCTTTTATTGTGGCCAGCCTAAGGCACACCTGTGCAATAATCATGCTGTCTATTCAGCATCTTGATATGCCACACCTGTGAGGTGGGATGGATTATCTCGGCAAAGGAGAAGTGCTCACTATGAC